TTGATATTCTTAAGTTTCTGCTCATAAACCGATTCTTCTATTATAATAATTGCACAAAAGTATAATCCAGTCGCGAGCTTTTCGTGGGATGAATAAACACTTTGAACAAACAGCCACTCATCACGTAGGCGCGAAAAATGAGCTCCACAGACATGTTTTGCTACAGTGACATAGACGGAGAAGAGAGATTTTATTTACATACGGTTCTTTCGACAATATTTTTGTTTTCTCCCACATTGAGATATTTTTATATTTCCGCATAAAAACGTATATTTCCATTCATATCTTTATATGTTGAAGAAGTTCTTTTGTATCAAAATAGATGTTTATATAATACAATTGAACTTCTGTGTAAGGCTACATTTCCAGGAGCTCAATAAATAATGGAAAAATCTTGAATGTATTTCATCAATTTGTTATGATATGAATTTCATTCGAATGTTCTCTTCAAGTTGAGTGTTTTTTCGTTTATTCAATAAAAATACTCTCAAGCGACTGATAATATTTCTTGGTGATAAATAATAAATGAAAATTGAGAAATTTCTTACTTTTCCTATAACATTAATTATCAACGATGATGGCAATTGTTAGGGCATAGAAAAACTGGTTAAGAACACCCACGTATGTCTATCTTCCGGTCACGGTTAATACGTCCCTGTTTATTTTGTGTTTTTCGACAATTTTATTTTACCGCTGCTAGAACCTATTATAGACTTTATAGTCATTGTAATAATAGTCACAATCCATTCACAGCATACCTACAAAGGAGGCCGTATCTAATTTACACCAAGCATTTAGCTTAACATTGTGAAACATTACCAAGAGGTAATGATGATCATGGTAATGCATTCTTACTTGTATTTAAAGACGATCGCCGAAATGCCGTTGCTAATTAAATTATCAATTCAGACTTCCTTATAATTATAATAGCAGCTATATTTCAAATAAAACAGTTTGACGGAGGCTCTTTATCACGTGTGGAAGAATAAATTGCTAATATATTCATAACTCCTTATTGAGATGTCTGGGTATTCGTAAAACGTGAAGCAACAGCTGTAACCAGAAAAGATATTTAAAAGTATTTGGTGATAATAGGCGTTGCTCACGCAGGCTTACTCAGGCAGTCATCTTAGGCGCCGCCTGTGGAAGTTACCTGCTGTGATTTGTCAGGTCAGAAGATACAACAATTATTGCTTTCTTCCGAACTAGTTCATTATTGACTATGTGTATACGATATCCCTCTTAATTTGTTCAACGCCTCAGGCTTCAGGATTGCCAAATATATAAGCAGCAGTTGTTTTTGTCCCCTCATCATTATAAATCAAAAGCAGGTATGACTCCGTCTGATACAGTCGCGTGTTAATGTTGTGAAAAATTGCTAGGGGCGGTTTGCATCACAATGACACTTCTCTTGTTGTTATTATTTATTAAGCTTGCATTCCCCATTCTTAATATTATACGTTAGGTTTATAGCTAAAATTTAATTTTGATTCAAAATTTATTATTTAAGATTTTTTTTTGTTATGTTTTAAATTATATATTATTTTAGTATCAAGTATCTATCCTTCATTGTTAAACTTGTAATAAATTATCTACTTACCAAATACCGATGTGACAATGTTACGTTTATTTTACTACCCACAACGAACATTAATATCGTAATAAATAATATATAAAATATCTGTTAGTTTTATATGGCGAGATTAATGATATTATAATTGCATCGATTGTTAACTAAACAAACAACCTCTATGTAGTGTACACTATTGATTTCTAAAATCATTATTCAACTTACTTATCAGTGTATATTACGAGAAATGTAACAAGATTCAGGGTTGGCGTTACAGACATTTTGCTCTTAATACGTTTGAAGGAATCCCTACCGTTTGAAGATATATCAAGTGTTTATGTCAGGGTTACCACCAAAATCGCTAATTGAAAGATGCTAAAGTATCATTTCATGTATCAGTCTAGGATTATGTGTCAACAATAAAGTTGCTAGTCAGCCCTGCCCCGTTGAACCCTCCTCACGTGTGACGGCTATGCATTTATTTGTCCGCAGCTGCGGTGCCGACAACATATTTATAGTGCTCATTAACCTTCAAGAACGCTATTTAATTGTCGGCCGTTTTTTATTCACTTCACCTTTGACCCGTCCACGACTTATTGCTCCTCGGCCGTTCTTTGAAAGGGAACTGTATGGTTATTTATTATGTGATGTAGTTTCTATGTGGCGCTTGTGAGATCGTCTCTATGATTTATGTTGTTATAAGGACATGATTACTGTCACACGTCTCAGCGCCGTGTTTCTTTGAAATATATCAATGTAGCCTCACATACGGCTTTGGAATTAAATGAATGTGAATGCATTCCTTTATATCTTGTTGATGTTTGTGTAGCATGTCCTGAAATTTGTATCTATTAGTACGGAAAATTATTATTACTGACTGAATATGACGTAGTTTTTTTGTTTGTATTAAGTTTAATTTTCGTGCTTACTATTTGTTGCGTTTGTATTACATTATCTTTGAGCTCTGGTAATTTATTTTGTAATAAATATTGAATGTGTTTCGTTTTTAAACGAACGCTATTTATTCTTACTGTGTGAGCATTATCTTGTTTTTAAATGCTTTTGTTAAAATAAATTACAAAAAATGTTATTACTTGATGTTATATACGCATTTATAATTTGAGGTAAACGTTTGTAATAATTAAAGTGATCCTCGTTTATTGATACTTTATAAAATGTAAAGTGTACTGATCAGGTAAATAGATAGCACATAATGTAACTTACAATGGAAGCAGCTACCATTGTTCCATGTCTTTATATTATCAAATTGAATACACTCTGGTCATGACGTCTTCATGCGCTATCATCAATGAATTGTATAACGTCTGTAATGTAGTCTGTATTTGAACAGTTTATTGATTGGTATCATGCTTTGCTTCTCTGTTCACTTTGAATAAAAATCGAATTATGATTAATCACGATTCCGCGTGGGTGACGGTCCTCCAAGCCGATCTATCATTCCCTGATAACGCCACTGGGGATTCACTGATAACACATTGGTAACCGAACTTCGGATGTCTGTAACTTCACTTCAATATTCATCGCAATCCGTTAGCATTTTGTAAAGCAAACGCCATCGTTTATACACTCGTGGGAAGACTATTTGTTACTGCGTATTAGTTGTCGAGTGCCTTTTACACACATAATCTGTGTAAGACATTGTGGCATGTGTAAATACTATTGTACTGGTGAAGTATGGATATAGATAAGCGTGTTATAAATTGTTGCTGGAATATTTTTGTGAAATAGTCTTTTTAATGGAGAGTAAACTATCTAGTCTGTGATGGAAGATGCCGACAATTGAATTTGTCTGCATGCGATCCTCTGTAATGGGATTTTAAAGTTATTTAAAGTCTTCATATAATGTTATAAGCGGCGAATAATTTAAGTTCACTAAGAAATTGTATTCTCTTTGTAATGAATATTCCTAAAGATAATAAGAGAAGGAATTTAAAAAATATTAAATATTTTGATAAGTAAACAGTGAAAGCTAATTAATATATCGCTATAAGAATGTATAAATATCAATTTGTATTGATGTATGTTTATATGATGTTTGGTCCGTCCAATGTTCCCACGTTTGTGTCTCTTAATCACTTTCGCGTCTAATAACGCTCTGTAATGTGTTTATTAAGCGTCGTTGCTTTAATTGCGTACCATTTAACATACAGTGTTCAGTGGTGTCTTGCACGGAATTACATACAATGCACACGTACGATAGTTGTTACAACTGACTGAGAAAATTATCGTGATTAAATTTGTTTATATATAAGGAAAAATATGTACAAAAAAATGTGTATGTGTATTGTAATTATTATTTAGTTTTGACGATATGGTTTTCTATGATTTCATTGATTACAAAAGTTTCAAACTAACTAGGTTAGTTTATAAGAATATTGTGTAGCTCAAAATTAATGGTAATATAACAAAAATTAAGAATACAAAACTCAGCCGTCATTTAGTGTGTAAACTCCTTTTATGAGTTTGAATTAAACGAGTGAATAATGGTAACGTTTAAGTCTGTTTGCCTGGTCATTATGTCAACACGAGTATCTTAATAGTGGGACATAAGTTGTGGATCGAATATGTTGATATATAACTCAACGTCCGCATTACCTCAGCTGATCTACGACGACCATTAGCTTGTTTAAAATAAGATGTTATTTTCTTATTAAATGCCGGAACGCTAATTATTTTATTGCCTACCAATCTCTAACTGGTGACTGGTTTTGGAAATTATATTTATTCGATGTTTGAAGCCTGTAATAACATTCCATCTAACGTTATATTGAATAGTCAGATGATGATTTAAATCCATTGTATTGTTTTAACTAGTTTTTAAATATCAAGTTTTTATAAGTTTTTTTTTTTATTATTGAATTAAAATATTCTTAAATTACGTAATATACAGTCAAAGTGCTTTTCTGAAAAGGTAAAAATTAAGATAAATAGATATAACATATCTTTGAATGAAGATGAAGTTATAAATTAAAATTCATTTATAAAATTCTTAAGGAGAAATCTAAGAAATTTACTAAAAGTAATTTAATATTGGGCGAAAATAGAATTTATATCTTATAACTTCCAGTTGCCAGTACAAAAGATAGTTCTTTTATGGTAGTTCTATTTATACTTATTGATAAGAGAGCATCTGCATTTTGCATGAAAAATCCCTTTGAAATCTTGCTTTCAAAATAAACTAATTCCTCCCCATTTAGCCTTTTAAATTCCACGTCATCAACATTGGTGTGTGTTGTCTCATAAATTCTAGTTGGTTTTGGGTAAAACTTTATTCCATCCCTCTCAATTAATGGATTTATCTTAAAACCCAAAACACCTTTAGTGAATTTAGTAAATTTGTTTTCATCAGTAAATTCTAATAATTTTATCAAGGGCTAATCATTTATACTTATCGCTCTTACCATCTCTCTTAATTTGTGGTAGGGGATTTCTCTCTCTCTTGACAGTGTCTTATCAAATTAATGCATATTGAGGTTAATATAACATTTTGTCCCTTTTCTTGAGACGTATATTCCATCAAATTACTGACCCTATATTGTGGTTGAACTAAAGCGTGAGTGATGTAGATAAAATCCAGTGTTAATCCCGATAATATTGGCAAATATCTATACCTCTTATCAATTTGAGATTGATTATAATTAAGTAAGCTGGGGATCTTTCTCACATCTAAATTGCTTTCTGCTACTATTTTTTGTATTTGGTCCAAGTAGTATTTGGGGATATTTTCATACTCTACTAGATTACTCAAACCCAGAGAATGGAGGATTGTTGGCTTAATTAATTCCTTGGGTATATCTATGTTATTTGGGTTGACCGGAACTAGAGCCCTTGAAAGGTTGATATTTCCAATTTTGAATTTGGCATTCATCCAATTATAATTGAAAACTTTTTCAAGTCTATCTTGGTTATTGTCGAACAACTGTTTTACTGCTCTCTTAGTATCCTCTTCCACTTTCTTCCCATCTTCGTGTATATACCATTGAACTAAATCAGTTTTGCACATTAATCTATTAAATCTTCTATTGTCAGATTTAGAATATAACTCTGTTGGCACCTCATCTAGGTCTACAGCATCTTTCCGAAATGTTGTCGGAGTATAGCCCTGTACGGTGCTCCCGTTTGGGCTGATCGCCCAATGAGCCGCAGGACCAAAGCCCTTCTGCGCTCTGCGCAAAGGGCTCCTGCGGTGAGGGTGATTAGGGGGTACCGTACGGTCTCCTGGGTCGCAGCGACTGCCCTTGCCGGCGATCCGCCTTGGGATCTCGTGGCGTCGGTTCGAGCCGAGTTGTTCTCCTATGTCTCGGGTAGGAGGGCACTCGGCGAGAACCCTTCGTCGGAGGAGATCCGAGCGGTTCGTCGGCAGGGGGAGGAGCGCCTTATGCGGGAGTGGGGGGAGGACCTGGCGGAGCAGCCGTACGGTAGACGTACAACGGCAGCGCTTCGCCCGGTCCTAGAGCGTTGGATGAGGCGGAAACGCAAACCCCTCACTTTCCGTCTGACGCAGGTCTTAACCGGGCACGGGTGCTTTGGTTACTACCTGTGTCGGACGGCCAGGAGAGAGCCGGGAGAAGGCTGCCATGAGTGCGGCGCTGCGGTGGACTCGGCCCAGCACACCCTCGAGGTGTGCCCGAGGTGGGCTGCGCAGCGCCAAGACCTTGTGGCGGCTCTCGGCGGAGTGGACCTGTCGCTTTCGAGTGTAGTGGAGAAGATGCTCGAGAGTGATGGGTCCTGGTTGGCGGTGTCCTCCTTCTGTGAGACGGTCATGTCCACGAAGGAGGCATCTCAGCGGGAAAGGGAGAGGGCGGCTGATGCTCCCTCCCCCCGCAGGCGACGTACGGGGGTGCGACTGAGGCAATTCCTACGCCTCCAATAGCACCCCTGTGTTCCGGGCTGGGGTCGGCGTGGTAACCCGGCCCTTTTGAAAGCCCGGCGTCGTCGGGGTGGTCCTAATTGCCAGGATCGCCCCATGCTCCGAGGGAGTAAGTCCGGTCTTTGCCAGGACCGGCCAGTCGCTGGTGTGCCCTGTCGCTGACAGATCCGGGGTACACCGACATAGCGGCCGATGGCTTTCGCAGTGGTTTTAGTGAGTAGGGGCCTGCCCAGGCCGAGCCTCACACATCCCTTCCGGCCCCACCAAGGCCGGTTGGACGGCTCGTAAAAAGAGTTTCCACTACGTCATCAAAAAAAAAAAAAATCTTTCCGAAATGTTATTGGGTATTTTAAGTTAATATTTGTCATTGTGCTCATCAAAGGGTTTGGATCTCTGTTTGATCTTGAATTTCTTTCTATTGCCCTCACATTGGATAATGTGCTTAATATATTATGTGCTTAATCTATTTATGGTGTCATCACTTGATCTTAATATTTTGTTACAAGCCCAAACTATTCTATCAAGTGTATATTTAGTTTTGTTTGGTTTTTCCATAATAATTTATTGTTATTACCCTCTCTTTCAAAATTGAAAACTATCTGTTATTGCGAAATTTTCTCCACCATTATTTATACGTATCTACATATGTAACAGATCCCTAATCAATGGCGGCTGGTGGGTTACCGAACTGGTGGTGCACTTTACTAAAATATTAAAATTAGAAAATGTAACAAAACAACAATTGACATGAAATATGTATATTTTTTATACATTAAATCAATGCGATTACATTTTTCTGAAGCTAAATTTTCAATCACCTTTTTATTGTAACCTAACACCTTTTTATAAAATGGGATATTGTTTGTATAATTATTTTTTTTCAATACTAAGTACAGAATGTGCATTTAGCAAGTGCATAGTATTTCGGAGAAAAGTTTTGATTCTTTTCAATTCCAATTCGTCATACATCGGGTGCTCTTGGTAATCTTCGTCGCTCGTGCGGCGCTCGAGAACCGACTCGTTACTCGGTACATTTCTATGAACTATCTTTTGTTTCACGCTTTAGGCGTATTAACTCCTATCCCATACAAGATGTATTAGCAGTCCTCGTGCACTCGCCGAAGCGCACGATATGAGTTTAGTAAAGCGCTCAAACTTTTTGACCATAATTGGAAATTTAATTTTTTATACGTTTTTGTACGTTAAAAAAATCAATATTAAAATGGTAATTTATAAATAACGATAAAGTAATATTTTGAAATTTTTAAAACTTTTGAATTGGTGGTTCAGCGTACGAGTGCACTTAAGGTACAGCCGCCACTGTCCCTAATAATCATTAGCAAAGTTTTATCTTGAACCTTTTTAATAATTTTCATACTAACGAACCGAAGAATTTCTTATAATATATTCTATAAAGAACTTTGTCTTGTATTGAGACATAAAAAAATAAATTTATTAATTTTCCTATTAACAGTCATAAGTTTTGTTGATTAATAGTATCGTAAACTATTCTGTTTCCGCGGACACAGCATTAGTTGCGATAGCGGTACCCCGGATAATAAATTAAAAAATGTTAAGATTGAATATTAATGGGCCAAACTTGATATAAATGTCATTAATAACTTTGTTATATGATTTTAAAATGACGCTTTCGGGGACTTATAGTATTTATAGTTTAATTTTGTTGTTTTTCATTTAAGTCGCCAAGTCGGACGGCTGTCGGTGATGCAAATTAAGATATCCATTTGAATTTTTTGATATATATGTATTTCTTAAATGACAATAAGGAAATAGAAATCGTGAATTATTTTATATTGTTTATTGTTTTATATATATGATAAATTCTTAAAAGTAATCGTTTAGGAAAAACTATTGAGCTCTCATTCTATTTAAGTCTTTGTTGTTTGATATTAAAATGAATGTCATTCGAGGTGTGTCTATTATTTAATGTTGGTTTACGACTTAAAGAAGGTTAAAGTTTGCGATCATTAAAACAGATTACTCCTTAATATTTTATGATTATAATAATTTATAGACAACATAGTGTCGTAAAAATGTTTAACATTTTTTATAAGTATAAATAAGATATCTATATCTACATATCATAAAGTCTCGCTGCTTTCAAAGAAATAGAATTACTGATAAAGTAAGAAAGGCCTTTAATAGAGTGAAAACTTTATATTGTGTCTTTTATGTGGAACATGATTTCAATACTCTTGTGCGATTTTCGCTGTCCTGGGTGGCCACTCTTTATGTTTATACATAATACCTCACAAATATACCTATGCGGTAGTGTTTGAAGTTAAACCAGTGACATAGCGAAAGTAGATTTATTAGTACAAATTTGTAAGGGTGTTGATTAACTCAAGCGTCTAAAGAAGACTCTTTTAACGTATAAAATCCAATTGTCATATACCTACTACGAATATAGAATATCAAAGGGTTGTTGAATTTTTTATTATTATTTAGGAGACGATCGTAAAATAATATAGAGATTGTAGCGCGTAAGATAAGTATGAAATTTAAGAAAAACTTGTAGAATGGAGAGTCTCTGCTTTCGCTTACAATTTTTGTCTTTGTTAAACACAACTGGTGTGAAATAATTTCAATATTCGTGTGACATAACAAATTCGATGGATAAACTTTTCAAATTCCCATACCCTCATGTACAGAAATTACTATAAGCTGAAAAAAATTTTTTTATTTATTAACATTAATTCTATGCCGGTCATTTACTAACTAATGTGATTGCGGTAAGTTGAGGGAAACGTTAAAATTTTAATGTCCATATTCTTTTATATGACAATTTATGTTTATAGAATGCCAATTGAGAACTATGAACAGTTTGTCATTAGAGTGTTGGCGTTACAGCTACCACTAAAACTAACACAATGCGCTGTTATTACTTTACAACCAAAATAATTTACTGAATGTTGCATCTTTTATCGCACATATTATAACTCACAATACACAGAGTTATAAAGATTTCCCCGGTAACTGTTTAAGTCATATTAACGTAGCATTTTATATTTTTATGTCGTGTTTTGAGTTTTCATGTATGTTGCGCGTCTGTTTCTTAGACGTAACGTTGTCTTTATCACCGGATTCTTCTATCGAATAAAGTCAGAGGTCAAACATACGCATTAATCGTTCCGTTGAAGGCTTTTGCTTCAATTCTTATCTTGTAATTTAATTTACACACGTAGAAGGGTTGTTGATATGTAAATTTGTCGTCGATATATCAAGTTAAATCTATCTGTAATCTTAATTTCTCTATTATATGTGGTCTCTTGATTCTTGAAGTTACATTTTGAATGGAATTTCGTGTGTATGAAATGTCTAATCAATCGTTTGTGGTGTAACGACATTGTTAAAATATTATATGATCAGATAAGAATCTGATGGAACTTGCTATTAATTATACTTTGATATCTTAATGTTATATTCTTTATGTTTAATGACCGGAAAACTTGAAGGCGTTTGTAATTAATTCTAGTTTAATCTCGTGTGTTTGTGTGATCTTAAAGTAGCTTTTTTTTTATAAGGCCTCTGTTTCTATGAAGGTTACACCTGCAAGGGCTGAACATGGCATTAATAGAGAGGTGTGTCGACACGCCCTAAATGTCGACCGCATGTTTTGCAACTTGCTTCATGTTGATTTTATGTTATACGAACCAGTCGCTGAGAAATTGCTTTTATTAATACCACCTTAAATACATTATCATGTTTTAGAATTAGAGAAAGGGAAACACATGTGAGTGAAAATAAATTTGTCGTGTTTAAAAAAATGCTTTCGAAAATATTGTTGGCTGTTTCAAAAACTTTAATTGTTTGTACGATTCGCTGTGAGTAACATATTTCGTTAAAGAAAATCATTAAACAAAATGATTATAAGTTTTTACATCTTAAAAATAGTGGATAGTATTGCCAATTTATTACTTTATTTTACAATGTGCTAGGTCGCTAACTACTGAGTTGACGATTTTGCTGCCACTTCATTTATTTTTATTATGTGTAATCTAACTTGTGGTATTTTTCATATACAAAATATGGGAGTGTAAAAGTGATAATTTTGTTAGCGTGCGATTATAATGATGTCGAAAAAAAAAACAGTCTCAAAATAATAATGCTAAAAGATGGATGTAATGTTTTTTAAATAATTCGTATTATATTTAATTGTCAATTTCACATAATCAGTTGGAGGAACAATAATGTATCTGTAAGAGATATACAGTTCATTAAGTTGGTTGCGGCGCCGGATCATTTCTTCTCACGAATTTCGCGGCGCCTGCGCGTAGGTGGCC